GCTGCAGCTCGGCTCCCTGCGTGGGCCGGGGCTGAAGGCCCAGGATGCTGGTGTGAGCTGGACTCCGGACAGCAATGGGCCCCAGGAGCTGGAGAGAGGAGAGGCAAGGTGCAAACATAAGTTCCGTAAGCAGTGGAGGCAAATGCCAGCAGGGAACAGTGCGATAGCCTCGGCCACCGGTGAGCCTGACCTACACACAGCAGTGGAGACCGAGAGAAGAGCAGGGAGCTCCAGACATGAGGGGCAGGGCAGCGAGAAGCCGTGTCTGCATCCCATACCGAGGAATCCAGGCCGCCTGGTCCAGGGTGAGGCCGGGTGCCAGCAAGAGTCCCGGCCGCCCTCGAAGCCTCCACACCTGGTCAGTTTTCCCTCCCATATCACAGGATAACCGGGGTCCCTAGGAGAAATGAACCCAAGATGTCACAGCAAGTGTGTCCCCTAGTGGTCCTCAGCCCTTCCCTAAACAGGCCCATGACCAGGTCACTGTAGCTGCTAGCTCATACTGGCTCATGAGCAAAGGAGCCTGAACCGCACACCCCGCCCAATAGCCAGACGTGCAGGGCTATGGACACTGGACATGTGACAGCATGCATCTGCCCTAAGGCTTTATGGAGTTGGTGAAAAGGAATCCACACGAACAAACACGAGGCACTCGAGGGCCTCTTCCTCACTGTTTAGTTGCAGAAGGTTTTCATTGAATTGGATATGAATTTGAGACATCAACACACAAATTACAGAAGTAGTGTCTGGGTGGGAATAAGTTAAGGCAAGTGGTTGAGGCAGAAATGACACGAAGGCTTCCATGGCAGGTTGCAGGGCAGGCTGAGGGCTCAGGCACACAGGTCTGGCCTGGCCAAACATCTCAGGTCCCGGGTGAGCAGGAAGAAGAGGTTGGAGATGACAGAGGCCTGGAGGCAGCCAGGGGACTCCTGTGGGGACACAGAGAGGGCTCAGGGGCTGCCCACGGCCTGGTCCCCTGATGCCCCAGACATGGACCTCCTGGTCCCTCACCTTCTTGGTGGCCTGGTTGAGCCGCTGCAGCCATCGGGACAGGCGGTGGCTGCAGGGCCTGTGGGCTGCTTTGGGCTGAGCTGGGACCTGGGGGCAGAGAGGGCACTGTGAGCTGGGGCTGGCACACAGGGAGGGGCGGGGTTCAGAGCCCAGGAGGTGCACAGCGGCCCGAGAACTCACACAGGCCCGGAGCTGGGCGTGGATGTGACGCAGAGTGTGAATCGGCTGCTTCACGATGCCCCACAGGGCCTGGTCTGTCACCGAGGCCAAGACCTTCAGTGTCAGGGAGAGCTCAGCCTGCAGGGCCATGGGGCGCTCCCACACCTGTCAAGGACATGGGCACAGGGAGGGATCCTCGAGACAGAGAACAGAGGAGAGGAGGACACAGGGGACTGGGAGAAGGGAACGGGTCGGGCCACAAGTGAAAAACCACATAAGGGGCCAGGATGGGGAAGAATTGATAGAAACCTGTGCAGAGGGACGGAGAGGGACACAGGAGAAGGCCAGTGGGCCAAATACAAGGCCGATGTCTGGGCCCGACTGAGCGCTGGCTGGGCCTGATCTCCACTCACTTGAAGCTTCCCTAGGTCCCAGGCCCTGAAGAAGAGCCCCGAGTTGCAGGTGGAGTCCTTCAGCAGGCGCCGCTCTTCCTAGACAACAAGGACACAGGTTAGCTCCCCAGGAGGGTGTGGGGACAGTGCGGTGGGGTTGGAGGATGGTTCATGTACCAAGGTGGCAGGTTTGATTCTAGGGGATGGCTGAGCCACCTCCACTGCCGAGGACATAGTTGACCCAGTGCACTAAGAGCACGAGAAGGTGCACAGGAGTCAGAATGGAGGTGAGCCTACCACACGGAGGGTGGAGGTTAAACCTGTCTGGCGAAGTTTGAGCTTAGCCAGCACAGGGAGGTCAAGGTTCCCCTCTTAGACCTGATAACACATGGGGGGCGGGATGGAGTGCAGCTCACAGAAGGGGCAGAGGGGAGACTCACCAATGCTTCCTTGGCTGTCTTGAAGGCCTGCCTCTCTTCTAGGGACAGAGATTGCAACTGGGCCACGTGGCAGCCCCTTGCATCCGGGGAGACACTGAGGGGTCTGGGGACAGGAACTTCCCCTGACCTGGTCTGTACAGTGCACAGCAGCAGCAGCAGCAGCAGCACGCAACCTCCAGCGGGGTCTGTGTCACAGAGGGACAGCAAGGAAGGTGACGTCGGGAGCCCAGGGCTGAAGGGCCATGGGGAGGGGACCCTCATGGACCAGGCTGTGCTCCTCACCTGGCTTCATCCTGCTCTCCCTTCTCTGTCGCAGATGGAGACCCAATGTGCACTGGAGGCTGCCAGCTCTGGTGTCTACCTCAGCCGTTCTTGGAGCCTTGAGCCTCAGTCTCCCGTGTGGATCTCGGCCTGCTCCTCTGTGACAAGGTGTCTCTCGGTGTCCAGCTGTGTCCACAATGCCTCTCCTGCCTCAGTCCCATGGTGCTCCTTTTATCCTAGACTGAGGGACAGTCCCAGGTGATGTGTGTAAACTTAAGACTCAGCCTGACGTATTCACTGGCCACTAGCTGTGCCCCGGGCTGGAGAAGCCCAGAGGGGGCAGTGCGATGACCAGGTGAGCAGGAGGAAGGGAGAAGACTGCCCAGGGAATCAGATTCACCTGGCTGGAAGCGAGTTCAGTGAGGAACCCTCAGCACTGAGGCAGTTTCAGCACATAGGGAAGGATTGGGACAGCTAGGTCTGGGATGCAGAGCTGGATAGGGGCCTGAAGTGCAAGATGGCATAGGCAGGGAGGGAGGAAGGTGCCCCCCAGAGCCCACCTGTTTCCTGAGAATCAGAACCTTCCCAGAGGGCTGGGTGGGGTGGGAATGCGGCCCAGAAAGTAGGCTGCCTTGGGAGGGGCTGAAGGGGGGAAACCCCAAGATTGAGAGTGAGAGTCTGTCCACCCTTCCCATCTGCCCCTGAGAGGACTCCTGGGGAGGTGGCCCATCCACCACAGATCTCCCTTAATTGTCTAAGACACTGAGGACCCAGGAGAATGAGGCTCTGCTCTGGAATTGCAGTCACACCAAGGGTCTCAATGAACCAGGCTAATTTGCAACTAAGGTCTTCATCATTTAACAAGGAGTTTTCAGCTCCAGCCTCATGGCATATAGTGTACGCGGTAATGGGATAGAGCTTTGTAGGGAGCGAATCCTGAAGCCATTGTTCTTGGAGCTTCCCACTCCAACTCTCTTCTTTTCCCCACTGATAATGTCTGGGAGGGACGCACACTTTCAGTCTCTTGGAGCTCTGATTCCTAAAAATATTTCCTAAGGAAGGGCGGGATCGGCCCACCTCACTGTCCAGTGCATTGTCCAGCCTCTTTCCAAGGCAGGGCCTCAATGCTGGTTGTAGGAGCCTTTGCACCATTGTGGTTGTGCAGTGTCACAGGCTGCAAGTCACACTCACACCTCCTCCGTGTGTGTGTGTGTGTGCACGCGCACGTGTGTTGCTGGTGACTTTCACAGGCCTTGCGCATTCTCAGTGTGTGCTTTACCACTGCGCTCCTCCTCCCACCCTGTTCCTCTTAGAGGGCAAGTTCACTTAAGGAAGAACTCGGGCTCTGGAGCAAAAGAAGAGCAGATTTCATCCTAGTTCTGACTTGCGGGACCTTGGGGCCTTGGGAGCTAGGTGTGCAGTGAGCTCCAGAGATTGCCACCCACATGTTTGGATGCAAAGGAACAATACAATGGCCCATTTATGCAGGAGGGAGGAGAGCACCCTCGTCTCATTGAGGAGGATAGTGAGGCTCTGGGAGAAGCCACTTGCACAGTTACACTCTGATCAATGACATCACCGATTTGCCAGCCGGGCCCTTTTTGTTGTAGAGTGCACCTCAAAATGATTCTAGGGAAAACAACCAGGACAAACGAGACAGTGTTCAATCGCTGTAATAAATTAACACCAGCAGGCAGAAGAGGAAATGCCCACGGGATTTTCACAAATGCGAGCAACACACGTGTAACAGTATCCACAGATGACAGCAACGGAAGGCTCTTTCGGCCTTGCACTACCACGGCCCGTAGGAAGGCCAGGTGTCGTGGTGCTCGCCTGTAGCGCCAGCACTCGGGGGAGGCTGAGGCAAGAGGATTGCCGTGAGTTCCAGGCCAGCCTGAACTACACAGGGAGACCCTGCCCCACACCAAAAAGAAAAGAAAGTCAGAACCAAGGAAATGGGCGCCTCTGCTGGAGACCCAAAGCGACAGCTTCACAGAATCTCAGAGGAGTACGGGACAGTTCACATCGCGGCTTGGGACCAGCAGCTGAGGGGCGAGATTCCCGGTAATCCCAGAAGCTGGGACTGATCTTCACGAGGCGGAGTCAGCCACGGTTGCGCCCAGAGCTCCAGTCGCTTTCTCCACGCGCATCCTGGCCCAGCTTCGCGCAACTCAGCCCAGGCAAGCAGCGCTGCTTCCCTGGCACTGAGGTCTCTGGTTCTGGAAAAGTTCGCGTGCTTCCTGTGTCCAGCGCAGGTGCACGGAGGTCTGGCCAATGGTGACAGAGAGTCTCTCGCGCCTCAGTGTCCATTGGCTGAGCGACACGCCCATCCCGTGAGCTGCAGCCAATTGCTGTAGTGGAGTGTGTGAGTCCTGGGGAGCCCGACAGCTGTCAGATGCAGGGCCCAGAGGTCGCCACCAGCCTGCGGTCCCGCGTGAGCAGGCGCAGGAGGTTGAAGAAGACAGTGGTTTCGTGGCAGCGAGGCGAGTCCTGGAACACGGGCAGGAGGCCGAGTCAGGCTTCGCCTGGCCCAGAAACTGCCCTCCGGTGTTCGAGCCCCGTGCTCTGTCCCATCCCGCCCCCTCCCCCGGGGTGTCCTGCTGCCCGAGCCTGTGCCCCGGCATGGCACTCAGCGCCCTTGGCAGCTTGGGTCGCCTCCTTCGCGGTCGGTCGCGGGGACCTCCTCCAGGAGCCTGGCCGGATCAGCTGCAGCTGGAGGGGGGATCCGGATCAAGGAGGAGTCCAAGGCCGCAGCGTCCCGCCCAGGGCGGCCCCCCGCCCCCCGCCCAAACCCGGCTCTCTGCGGCCCGGAGGACAGGAGTCTGGCGCGGCCGGGTTCCTGCCTTGGGCGCTCAGATGCGCCAGGCGCGCGGGCCCCGGGGGCCTCAGCGGCCAGGGCACGGTTTCACTCACGCAGGCCTCCACGTCCCCGCCCGCGGCCGCCAGCAGCTCGAGGGTCGGGCCGGTGCCCGGGAAGCGCTCGGGGCTGCGCAGGCTGCTCAGCACCGCCTGGGCGTCCGCGATGCTCCGGGCCACGCGGCGGAGGCCAGCGCAGGACTGTGGGACCCGACAGCAGTTAGCTGGCTGGCTGGCGCCGGCCCGCCCCTCCCACCGGGCGCGGCCTCACCGAGGGCCGCGGCGGATCCTTCGGAGCGCGCACCGAGTAGTTGCGCGGCCTCCAGCTCGGCCTCTCTTCCTCCTGTGGCACAAGCGCGGGTGAGGCGGGGGCTCCTCCCGGGGCCCTGGGGCGGCCTCCAGCCCTGCCCGGACGAGCCCCGATGGCCGCCGACCGTCTTGCGCGCTGTCTGCGCCAGCGCCTCTGGGAAGGCGCGAGCTGGCGCTGACCTGCACCCTGCCATCCTTGGGCCAAACCCTGCGCCCCAACACGGAGCTGGGTCCCCTGCGGGGCCCTCTCCTCCCTGGCACACAGCCGGCTTCGTGCTTCTAAAGGGACACAGAACTCGGGAGCCCGAGATAGGAGCTGTGCCTTCCGGGCCGAGGACACAGTGTCCCTCAGTACAGGGCCCCGTGTCTCCAAAGCTGGCGGGTCCGGGCTGGGCTCGCCGTGCCAGGGGGGCGGGGGCTCACTCACATAGCTGTCCCTCAGCGCCTTGACTGCTGCCAGTGCCCTGGGCTCCAGGGAGTGGTAGTGTGACAGCAGGCAGTGCCTGGGAGCCACCATGCCTCGGTCTTCAGCCACCCTGAGGTTCTCAGCCATGACCAGCATGCACATGACCCACAGCCCTGCGGCCACTGCGGCTCTGCCACTGGGCTGCATCTCTGTTCCTTCAGGCAGCAAGGAAGTCAGGGAGTCAGGGACCGGGCCTGTCCGGGTCAGTGCCGCTTCTCCTTCCTCTCCCAGAGGACTGATGCTTGGGTGCACAGGGACATGGCTCCCCACGGTCCGGGCTACCCGCTTTCCTCCAGCTACTTCCCCCACTGCTCACCTGCGGTGGCCCCTGGGTGAGTCGCGCTGCCACGGGGCCTGGCCTCCACCGTCCCCGAGGAGGTGTGCAGAGTGCTGTCCACCTTGGGCAGTGGTACCCGCCCCAGCCATGGTGGCTTTTATGGGCCTGAATGAGAAAACAGTGTGCAACCGGGCTTCCCTGTCCTGGGGATTGCCCTTTCCAAACGTCCGCGCTGGCCCCAGGCTCTGTGGTATGTGGGCCAGGGAGTGAGGACTTTACCTGAGCGGTCCTGTGCCAGGGTTGGCTTGGACCTAGGCTTCAGCTCCCAAGTCGGTTTCTTTCCTCTCGAATGTCTCACCTCTCTCTCTGCCTCTAACTGTTTTGTCATTTCTTTTGTCCCACAGTCATACCCACCATTCTTTTGGGGTTCATTGTTTCCCATGCTCTGTTCTAAGTAACTGATGTATACGTATCATCTCTTTTCAATCTCAACAACCTCACAAAACCGACATTCTATGTTCACTCCACTCTACACTTGGGACGTGGTGGCCCTGTATCCCAAAGGTCTTTCCCAAACTACACAGCTATCAAGCAGCAAAGATGCTCTTCGAACCTACACACTGTCCAGCTTCAAGGCTGGTTCTTTCATGTCATTATCACCCAGAAGCTTCTAATGCATTTTCTCCTCATTTCTCCGTCTTCCTTTCATTCCATCTCTCTTTATTCCTTCTGTTTAAGCCTTCCTTTGTGCCTCCTTGTCTCTCTTCCTGACCTCATCTCTGCCCCTACATTTTTCTTTTGGTACCACGATGGAACTCAGGGGTGTTCTGCCACTGAGGTACATTTCAGCCCCTCGAGATGGGTTCTTGCTAAGTTGTCCAGGTGGCCTGGGAACTTACAGTCTTCCTGCCACAGCCTCCCTTAGTGCTGGCATCATAGGCGTGAGCCGCTGTGCCCAGCTCATCTCCACCTCTTCGTGACTCCGTCCTTGTCTGTGCTTTCCTTTCACCAACAAACATACCAGTCGAGGTCTCTCCATCTGTCTCAATCTGTCACTGTGTTTTAATTTAAAAATAACATACACTACTTCTTTTTTGTGATACAATTAGCAGTGGATGTTCAT